CCATTGTAACAAGGATGTTATTGTGGGGAACCTCGAGTCCGCTGATTACACGGAGAAAGTGGTTAGGGTACTTAATGTACGAAGGGATAGTTGGAACAATATCCTTAATTATGAAATCTAGCCCCCTTGACATTCTTTCTGTTACTGTGCCTGTTCCTTAAAACAATAGGACGACCAGGTGGTTGACTTTGTGTATTTTAGGGAGCAAGTAAAACCGGCCTGGAGCACGCTGAATAGGTTGCATTGCCTTGAGCATATCAGCCGTGATTTTTCCATTTTTACGCAGTGAATTTAGTTCACGGATTATTTCTGATTCGAATAATTTAGTGGGGTCATCTTCGAGTTCTGCATAGAAGTTCTTGTCCACCAGTTGCCGTTAGCCTTCTCTCAGGTAATCAATTCTATCTAATATTACTATCGCACCACCCTTATCCACAGGCTTAATTACCAAATCCGCTCGACCGCTTAGGAGCTCCAGTGACTTATGCTCTTCCAAGGAGAGATTGTTTCTATAGCGCCTTGTTTTTGAACAAGCCGATATGATGTCTTTTTGTACTGCCGATATATACATGTCTAGGTGTCTGTCCCGCTGTTCAGGTGGTGACCAAGTTTTTTTTGAAGAATCAGGGAATACTGTTCGGTTTGGTTCATGGTCATGGAAGTACTCTAGTAGGCGCATATTTCTAGCAAAGTTATCTAAATCCTGATACAATTGGAATTCACTAAATTTTCCACTAGCCGGACAGAATGTTAGGCCTTTTGAAAGCAGTCTGATTTCGGTCATAGATAGCTGTGCTGAAGAAAGATTAATTACACTCGGATTAATTACACTATTGCCAGCGATAGTCTTTTGTATAAGAAACCCCACCCCTAGTTATTTTCTGTCAACTAATCCATGGTAGCCTAGGAAGTGTCCCTTCTTCAGCACTGTATAAGCCTTGTGTGTGCTCCTAACTTTGCTGAGTCCTATTACATCCCACTGAACACTCTCTGATTCCTTGAATAGGACTACTAGACTAGCCTCACTAGATAGCATTCTAGCATTGAAGGTAGCCAAGTTTAGATTCTAAAGGCGGCCTGTCTAGATTCAGAGATTCTTAGCACCCTCCGCTGCGTCGCACGTCTGGCCGCCACCTTAGACAGTTGCTTCGCAGCCACTGGGAACTGAGCACCAAGGGTTAATTGCTGTATTCATGGGAGGTTGTGGCCAGGTAGTACACCGAGGTGGCCAATCCTGCTCTGGTGAGAGAGTGCATTACCGACAGCTGGTCGCCAGTGAGGCCGCACTCCAGACCTCTTTCTTTATTTAATGATTCCTTCATCACGAGTTTTAAGTAAATATATGATTGGGAATGGTTCGGCATCAATTTGTCATGGGATGCTAGGCTGCTGCACTATATCTAAGTAGAAATTTCTGTTGCTCTTTCATAGCACTATAGAATACCACCAGACGGTCTAGCAGCTCTCAACTTCACATGGATTGTAGTTCCGGACTTTTCTTAACTGTTTAGGAGTCCATATTTCTATACCGAAAAAAAAAAAAAACAGCGCAATTTCGAACTTCTGACCTTGTGAGCTTAGGCCGATTTAGTGTCCTAGGTGACCCTCCTTTTCAAGCATTTATTTTCTCCTAACTTCTTCCCGTCTCGCTCAGATTTGACATTGTCGGTTTCAGAGTGTCTGCAATGTAGGAGTTTTGCTGATTTCGAGGCGTTGCACTGCTACTTTGGTGTTTCCTGTCAACTGACGAGTTGGGCGCACCTGTTTTGGGAACTAGTTGGCTACTTCAATTTGAGTGTTACATTGCGCGTTACATTGAGCAGGCAATTAGAGTGCATGAAACTTAAATGCGAAAAGTTTCTAACTGCTAGAAAATATACAGGCGCTGCCTTTAACGTTGTATTCTATTTTGATGGCATTTTGGGGTAATAATTAAAACTCTGGTAAATAAATATAGAAGTAGACAATAGCCCTCAGTCAGGAGTCAGACATACATAATAGTTTTAATGGCTGACTCTTTGTCTTACTTCTACGGTTATCCTAACAACGTAAAATATTGAACGAAAAGGTAAGGAGCAGATTTTTTTAGTTCTAAGAGGCGGGGAAAGGCAAGAAACTTTGTACAAAAGCAATGACGTGTTAGCATCACTCACCGCAAAGCGTCGGCTTTAATTGCTAGACCCCGACGACTCTCGGCACCACACTCATACACAACGATAAATCCACGCGACATGTTCAGCATGTAACTGCTTTTGGCATTGCCCTACGTTTTGGGAATGGAATTGGTGCTGGTGGGTGCCTCTATAAGTTTGCCTGTTTATTTATACAGTATACAATTATATTAGGTGCCGGAGGTAACATAGCATTGGATTTTATTCAAACATTAATACAAAGCATATTAGCGTAATACTGCCTTGTTAAACATGCATGGCAAAACGTTAGTAACACAGTGCAAAAGCACCGTTTCAAACTTACGTAGTAAAAAGGTCACAAAAGCTTGTAAGTGCCCAAGAAAGTTAGTAACAGCTCGTGTTACTAAACTTATGCTTGTGGTTACTAAACAAGCTTTCTACTAACTTTTTTTGTTTAGAGTGCACACTTAAGGTAAAGTGATTCGGCCGTGAACAGACATGGATTTGTTCGAATGCAGTTCAAGTTTAACAAATGCCTCAAAATGCAAGAGTGTGGGCCACATCAGTAAACTACAATGTGGGTGAATTAAAAAGTCAGCTCGAGTTTCATGCAACGGGCTGCACGAACACCTTGACGTAAATTCAAGCTTTGCGAACATGATGCAACACAAAGCAACATAGTGCAACCCGCAAAAACTCGAGTATAAATATAGTGTAAAGATGCGTGCCGGCGCAGATGCATACACCGACACACATTAGGTCACCGGCAAGGAAAACACTTCTGATAGTAGTCATAACATATAATGATTCTGTAGCTGTTGTAATTGGAATTCACCGCAAATTAAATGCTCTTAGACACGTTTACTTCTTGGTGCACAATGAACAAACGTGCTAAAACAATGAACAGAAGTTAACAACAGGTTCCAGCTTACGCGCCCTAGACATAAACTATGGTTACAGCTAAGAAACGCCATCCTCGCCCAACAATATTTACGAAAATTTACTGCTGGTGGTGCCCCTTTCCAACACCACCGGTGTCAGAGGCGGGCACCACAACAGCTCAGTTCAACTCCTCCGCCGAAATCAAGTTTCACATGCGCACTATACTTCACTCTTTGGACAAAAGGAAAAAGTATCTCGCACTTAACTGTGCACAACTTCAACTATATCCTAATGAAATGATACAGACAACTCCCATAGCCCAGCTTAGTACTCAAATTACCCTCCGTCTCACGCGTTTATTCCCTCTTGACTTCTTGTCTCGCTCAATTTTGACATTGTTGGCTTCAGAGTGTGCACAATGTCAGAGTTTTACTGATTTTGAGTGGTCGCACTCCTACTTCGACGTTTCTTGTCAATTGATGAATTGCGCGCACCTGTTTTGCGAACTAATAGACTACTTCAATGTGATTGTTATGTTGAGCAGTTTTATATCTTTTTGTTCCTCCAATTTTTCGCCACTGACAATGCTGCTGACATGTGCCCTGCCTGCAATACAACCTCCGTTACGAGATTGTGTAAAGCTTCTTGAAAGTCTGCTGTCACTGTTCCTGGTGTGATCCAAACCACCTGTGGCGCATACCCATATTCCTTCGGTTGTGGTATGCTGCTGGTAAGTGCCACACGTGACTGGACGAACGGACGGACGTCATGCAAACTTTTCATTTAGTCATGTGTGGCACTAACCACAGCTCACCAAGGAGTGTGGGTAGAAGAAGGAGGGATCGACGGAGCCAAAGTGCCTCCAATGCACTAAGAAATGCCTTGCATGTATATCACTAGGTACATCTTTTTTGTTCATGTGCTGCAGCACTATCATTTAATTCTAAAAAATCTCTAGTGCCATTTAGCGACACCTTTTAAAGGGCCACTCACCAGGCCCCATACCAAACTTTAGTTAGACAGTGGAAGTTGTTGGGTGTCCGATGAGGAACGTTTTGCCACAAAAATTTATCGAATCAGTTTATTACGAGCGGAGAAAACAGGTTTTTTGAAGCGGTGTGAAACGAGGGTGACAGGAGGCGAGCTCTAACCTCTTGCCGCTCCTCCGCGTAGTCTTCGCGAGCCAAATCTCTTCCCCACCCTCTCCGGCATCCGACCAAGAGGTGACAAGCGCATGACGTGCCGGACAAGCCCAGCCCCCGAGCACGCGAACAGCGTTGCTTTGTTGACCAGCGTTATTTTGTGACTTTCTGCCTGTTTCTGCCGGATGGTTTGGAAACGCTGGCTTAGACGTAATAGAGTATATGAGCACAACGAGTGCGGGAACGCGTAGGAGCGTTCTACGGCGGTCGTCTGCTCAATGCGCTGACCGCGGGGACACGAACGCATGCGCAACGCTGGCACATTAGCCCCGCATCTTGTAGCATTTCACGGGAAAAATGAAAGAAAAATGTGCGCAATTTTTTATTGCGTCTCAATATTTATTTCAATTTTTTATTCATCTCTTGAAGCAGCAAATACGTAAACTATGCATGTTGTGTTAAATAATTTTTGCCATGCCACGTGGTATACTGTTGACAACGTCAGAGCAGACTCGTCTATGTAGAGGACCAACGTCACCGCATTGCCGTGTACATAGGGATCATTCCCACGCCTACGTCGTGCCTTCATTCTCTACGTGTGCGCCGGCAGAGGGGAGGGGGAGCAGCTCTCTTCTGAAATTCGACCCAATTCCGCGGCGCGTAGCGTTGCAAAGTTTGGCAGGCGTGATCATGAACGCCTCGTCTATGCATTGCGCTTGTCAGCTCAAAGTTGTCAAACCTGGTGAGTGGCCCTTTAAATGGCTCGGAGGAACACCACATGAGTAGCATATGTAATACCTATTTGGCTGATGCACAATCCATGGTTATTCCTTCATCCATGCAGGCATCATTGGGACCTCCTCTTCGAACAGCGCGCAAGTGTTATGCAGCCTTGCTAGATGGACATGTGGCCTTGCCTACAGGGTGGCGTGGCATTGAGATCAACCTGGCTGTGGGAGAGGATGGCAGAGAAGGCCACCAGCACAAGATGTGCACAGCCAATGCTGAGTACTGCTTGAATCCCAGAGAAGCCCGAACACGGATACTTGTACTGGGTTGGGGCCTGTTTCATGGACGGCCGGCCACACAGGTAGGTTTTCTCCTTTAAGTAGCTGTTATGACCAAGCACTTCCTAACGATACCTTAGAATGCCTGCCTTCAACAGGGCACAGTAAGTGAATGTGATTCTCAATGCTCCTTGGGTAGTACTTGGGACTTGGATGCTTGAAAAAAAGCACTTTTACAGCGAAAGCTGTTATGGGGTCACAACTTGGGTCACACCTGGTGCTGTAGTTGTCTGCCACCACCGGTGTCCGTAACCTCTTCGCACGAAAGAAAAAAAACCTAGTACCAAGGACATAGTGGGGCTCGAACCCGGGTCTGCTGCGTGCCAGCCAGTATTCTACCACGGAGCCACGCCAATTGCTTCTTTGCAAACTCACCTTAGGCAGGCTTGAATGTCGAGAAAGGGGGAAAGGAATTGCGCTAATATGAGTAATAGCGCTTTAGAACAACAAAAGAACAACCAGGCATCACACAATGTAAAAAGCGTAACGAGGGTGTCATCCAATGATCCAACCCATTACAAAAGCTTGTTCTTGATCACCTATTAACTGTGGCACATACCCACTTCAGGCTTTATTCCTCATCGTCGTCAGCCACTGCATGGACAATTGGCACAAAATTCCTAGCAAGTGTTTAGCGGGTACCTTACTTCTCAGAAGAGTGATGAAGCATAGCGAATGCTGGCCCAGAAGTTATTATTAATGCCATAGCGGGGGGTACCCAGCAAGTGTGCTTACAGCTGTTACCCAATGCGTGTTTAGGAAAGGGTCTGAAAATCCGCTTTTCTAGTTTTCGCTGTGACTGTGCTGTGCCTTCTTCACAAACCTGGCATTTTTATGTAAAGGAAAGCTCTGTTGGGACCACCACCTCGTCATCAGTGTGATATTCTGGAAGCGCTGACCAAATTTTTCTGTGAGACAAAACTTGACAAGAGACTGTACATTGTTTTTGAATCTCCAAGGTTTTGCTTCATTGCCACCTTCCTCATTGTCAACACCTTCTCTTTCCTCTCTTTATGCCCCCTCCTTTTTCCTAACTCTAAGTAGCAGGCCAGAAAATGAACTCAGGCTGACTTCCCAGCATTTCTGCCACAATTAACATTTCTCTCCCGGTGTTGCTACTGAGCCATCTACATTTGACCCTGTGCATTATTTTTCTCAGCTGTACCACATAGCGTGGCATGTGTTTGTTAAGGGTGCTCGTGCTGATTATTACCCAATCTCTGTAGTGAGAGGTGCTCACTGCTCAGCTTGTCATCCACTAAGTGGGCTCTCAGCCATTTTTTTTGCTACATTTCAATGCCCAACATATATGTACAGAGATTCTAACACTGATATTGTCACGTGCGTGCACACTATTTCTCATCGATGGACCTGCGAAGTGGCTATTGGCAAATAGAGGTTGATGAGAGAGACCATGAGAAAACTGCCTTCGTGACGCCCAACGGTCTTTATGAATTTAAAATGCTTCCATTCGGGGTATGCTCAGCGCCAGCCACTTTTCAGTGTTTAATGGACACTGTGCTATTAGGGCTGAAGTGGCAGACATGCTTGGTATATCTAGACGTTATTGTCTTCTCAGCTACATTCGAGGAACATCTAAGTCGATTATTCGCAGTTCTACAAGCTATACGTTCGGCTGGTCTCACTTTAAAACCAAAGAAATGCCATTTTGGTTTTAGCGAACATTGCTTCTTAGGCCACTTGGTCAGCCACGAAGGAGTTCGACGTGACCAGGGCAAAATCGACGCTGTCGCAAAGTTCCTCGCACCGTATGACAAAAGAGCAGTGAGACGCTTTTAGGCCTCTGCGCTCATTACCGACATTCATCGCCAATTTTTCGTCTATTGCGGTGCCTTTGACGCGGCTCACACGAGAGGATGTCCCCTTTCTTTGGGGCGAAAAGGAACAAAGTGCCATTTAACGAATTACGCCAACGCCTCCAAACACCTCGAGTTCTTGCGCACTTTGACCAGGAAGCGCCAACAGCACTTCACACTGACGCAAGCAATGTAGGCCTGGGTGCCATACTAATACAATGGCAAGATAACTCGAGAAAGCGATAGCCTATGCCAGTAGAGCTCTCTCTTGCACGGAAAAGAACTACTCGACTACCGAGAACTACTCGGCTACCGAGAAAGAGTGCTTCGTCGTGGTCTGGGCGGTTCTCAAATTTCGACCATATCTGTACGGCCGCTCATTCATGGTCGTCAGCGACCGCCACTCGCTTTACTGGCTCACTAACTTGAAAGACCCATCCGGCCGTTTAGCTTATAAATCAGGGAAAAAGCACACCGACGCAGACTGTCTGTCGCGGTCAACCGTCGAGCCTGCCTCTATTATAACGAGTCTATAGACGCCGCATTCTTGGGAGTCATCAACCCGGCCACTATTTCACAAGAGCAGCAGTGACCCTGACCTGCTTTTGCTTATCGACTTCTTAGAAGGACAACGTGAAGACGTGCCGCGAGTTTTTGCGAGAGGACTGTCATCTTTCTGTGTAAGGGATGACGTCCTATACAAGAAAAACTTTTCTCCCACCGGCAGCCTATACTTGCTCGTCATCCCTGCATCACAGCGAAAAGAAATTCTGGAGTGTTATAACCGGCCCCCGCGGCTGAGCCGTGCCCCGAAATGCACGAACAGAGTGGCCAGGGCAAAAAGCGAGCGTTTATTGTCCGGCTTGGGTTTTTATAAGAACGAAAGGTAAGGGAAGGGGAAGAGGGAGATAAGATAGAAGGCGCGCGCAGCGTAGACTGGCAGCGCTTGTTTAGCGGTGGCGAACAGTTCGTGGCATTCCTTCTTCTTAGAATCCATAACGCTCCACTGGCTTCTTGATACGTGTGGAACGTTTTAGCTCTAGGGGCGGGTGGCCCGGAAGACCGGGGCCAGTAGCCGTTGGAGCTTCGCAGTCTTGTACTGGAGGGTCTGGGCTTATCTGGGGCTAGTGAGAGCCTCTGGACTCGACGGTTTTTCGATGCTTCTCCGCCTGAGCTGGTCCATGTGCCGGTGAACAAGCCCGTTCTCCGTGTCGACAGACACGATGCGTGCACCAGAGGTTGACCGGACCTTCCCAGGTGTCCACTTGTCACCACGGCCGTAATTGCGTAGGTACACAGGATCTCCTGGTGCGAAGTTCCACTCGGCGCTGTCAGCAGAGTGGACATCCCCTGTTGCTCGGCTCCTGGGAGGAAAACACATGTCTAATCGGGTGCGGAGCTGGTAACCCAACAACATCTCTGATGGTGAGCGCCTGGACAGAAGCGGCGGGTTTCTATAGCGGCACAATGTTCTAGCCAGCACCCTTGACAATTCTGCGTCCCCACACTTCTTTAGTCCGTCTTTGATGGTTCGCACCGCACGTTCGGTGAGTCCATTACTCTGTGGATGGTACGGGGATGCCCGCACGTGAACTACCCCGTTCTGTTGCAAGAACTCCTTGAACTCCCATCCGGTGAATGGCGTGCCATTATCAGACACTACTGTGTGTGGCAGACCGAATCTACTGAACAGCGTTCGCAGGGCATCGACTGTGTTGCGTGAGGTCGCGTGAGCCAGGTGAATGGCCTCAATCCATTTACTGTGAGAGTCCACGACGACAAGAAGCATCTTGTTTTGGATCGGACCCGCGAAGTCGACATGCGATCGCGACCATCTTTCCTGCGTCTCTGGCCAGCGAATGGGTGCTTGCGCGGGTGGCATGGGCAACGCCTGTACGCAGTGCTGACACACAGCGGCTAAGCGCTCAATATCGTGGTCCAAGCCAGGCCACCAAAATTTTGACCGTGCAACTGCCTTCATTGCAGAAACTCCTTGATGAGCTCCATGTAATAACTTCAGTAGCTTCTTCCTGGCTTCCGCCGGAACCACAACACGATGACCCCAGTGAAGCAAGTTATGCTGCACGGACAGCTCGTTCCGCCTTTTGTGATACTCCCGCATCTCTGTGCCTTCCTCCGCAGTGCGTTGTGGCCAACCTTGGATGACGTATCTGCACACACTTGACAGTACGCCGTCTGACTGCGTGAGGGCTTGAAGCTCTTTCATGGGCACCGCCGGCTCGTCCCACTGGTCCACGACTGAGGACGTACTCGGACCGCATCCTCGTCGTCCTGCAGCTCCTGTTCAAGAGATTGGGGTAACCAGCTTAATGCATCCGCGTTGAGCATAAATTTTCCCGGCTTGTACTGCAGTTTATACTTGTATGCACCAAGTAGTAGCGCCCATCTTTGTATTCTGGCTGCCGCCATGACGGGGGTCTGACGGTCGTGCCTTAACAGGCCCAGCAATGGCTAGGTGATCCGTAACCAGAGTGAACTCTCGACTCAACAGGTAGTCCCTAAACTTAGTAACACCAAATATCAAGGCTAACGCCTCGCGCTCGATCTGAGAGTACTTTCTTTCGGTAGTTGTCAGCGTTCTCGATCGAAAGCCTACGGGTCGCTTCTCGCCTTCGGTGTGATGAAAAAGTGCAGCACCAACTCCGTATGGGGACGCATCACACTCTAAGAAGAGCTCACGGTTCGGATCAAAATGAGTGAGTATGGGTGCCGCGCACAATGCATTTTTCACCTGGACAAAGGCTTTCTTTTCGTTGGTGCTCCGCGTCCACTTAGCGCCCTTTTTAAGCAGTTTGTACAACGGCGCTAGAATGGTAGACAAGTCGGGCATAAACTTGTTATAAAAAGTTACCATGCCCAGAAATGAGCGTAGCTCGCAGACGTTCTGTGGAGAGGGGGCTAGCCTGATAGCATCCACGTTCTTTTCCATGGGATGCAGTCCGTTCGCGTCAATACGGTGACCTAGATATGTAACAGAGGGCTCGCTAATGCGGCACTTATCAGCACGAAGCTTAATGCCATGTTCACAGAAGCGCTCGAGCACAGCCATCAGATTGCGGTTTTCGCTGTCACCCTCTTCCGCTATCAACACGTCATCTAGGTACGCTTGCACCCCAGGCAAGCCCTGTAGGATTGATTCAATCCGCCTTTGAAATATCGCCGGTGCCGAAGCAATCCCAAACGGG